CACGCACAAACACGCACACACACACGCACGCACACACGCACACACACACACACACACACACGCACACACACACACACACACACATGCACACACACATGCACACGCACACACACACACACACACATACACACGCACACACACACGTGCGCACATACACACACACATGCGTGCACACACATGCGCACACGCACATGTGCACACACACACATGCACACACACACATACGCACACATGCACACGCACACACACAACCACATACACATACACACACACATAACCCCACACACACACACACACACACACACACACACACACACACACACACACACACACACACACACACACACACACACACACACACACACACACATACACACATGCACACACACACACATGCACACACAAACACACATACATGCACACACAAACACACATACATGCACACACACAAACACACATACATGCACACACACAAACACACATACATGCACACACACAGACGCGCACACACACAGACATACACACACACACACACACACACACACACACACACACACACATACACACACACACACACACACACACACACACACACACACACACACACACACACACACACACACACACACACACACATATATATACATATATATATATATATATATATATATATATATATATATATATATATATATATATACATATATATATATATATATATATATATATATATATATATATATATATATATATATATATATATGAGTGTGTGTGTGTGTGTGTGTAATGAATGGGAATAAATTTGCTTACAAATTTTAATCTGCTTTCTTTATTGTGATAAAACTCCAATTACATGTATACTCTAATAAGAATGGGTGGTATCAGTTATCAGTTATGTGCAACTATAAGTTACTCTATTTTCCATTTATAAAATTGGTTCACATTACTATTAGACACTCAGTGTGTGGTATAAACACTCATATACCAATATCATTTCACCTTCAATATGTAACAGGAGCAGTTGGCATCATAGCCTTATGAGATCTGCACGATCCTACATGAGAGCCTCAGTCGCCTCACGTGGACATATGTCAGTATACGATACTCACCATTTGACGGTAGTCATTCATGGCCCCACCATGAGCGTGGGCAGGGTGGCCATGAGTACCCCAGCCGCTGTACCCAGCAGTGGCACCAATGGTCTGCCCACTAAAGGCATAGGGGTTGTAATTCGACCAGTTCGGCCAGAAATTCTTAAAAAATTCTTCTTGATACATTGCGCCAGCTGAGCACGTAAGAGCACTGTTACTATTGGCCTAATGTTACAGTTTTTGGTCCTCCAGTAGGTGTCCACTCCCGAAGGCCCTTGACAGGAGAGCACTTGACACGCCCCGGCCGTGTTTACGAGCCGCGTCCGGTTCTCCTCTCGCCCCTCGCGACTCGGGCCTCGTCCTCGCCACTCGCCTTATCTCACGCCTAAGCACACGGGCTCAGACATAGGGCCGGGGACCATTAATTAGCGTGGTCTTTGGGGAACGGAATTCCAGCTTTTTCTCTTCACTTACACCAACAACCGAGCGCAGGCGCACAGAGCTGCCTAGATGCGTAATCACCTTGAGCAATGGCATGTCACCTTAAGACACGCACCAAGTACCAACGCCAGGTTCAGGTGCACCAACATGCCAGGCTTTGCACACCTACGTGACTTTATATCACGTACGCCAAAATTACACTAAATATCCATTTCTGGTTTATAAAATGCTGTAATATTGCTGTCTCCATGCGGCCGTGCTCAGCATTTTTTTCTTTTCTTTTTTTTTTCTTTGTTTCTTATTTTGAATATTACACCATCTCGGAAAACCACATTTTCTATGGTATATCCATGGAAAAGCCTTTAAACCCTTTATTTTGGAGCGAAATAATACTATGCTCTTCAATAAAACAAGGCCAGACAATATTTTATCTTTTCTCTTAATAATAACATTGCTGTTCTTTCCGCCAAGAAAGCGCATACATATAGAACTCATATTTTCGCTGTATAAAAATGTTAAGTAAATCTTCCTTCCCCTACGGATACCCTTGTAATCAAATGAGGATTTCACTGAGTTTTAGTAGATTTGACTGGCATATTGCTAAGTTTGATATGGATAAAAGGAACAGTACAGCTCGTGAGGGGAGCATCGTGAAAATGTATCTGCTACATGGAGTTAAATGCACGTTCACATGTTCACATGAGCAAAGTAACACACTCATACACACACACACACACACACACACACACACACACACACACACACACACACACACACACACACACACACACACACACACACACACACACACACACCTATAAGTATGTATTTTGTATCGATCTATATATCTTTACCGACAGACACAAAGACATCTGTACTCACACATACACACACACACACACACACACACACACACACACACACACACACACACACACACACACACACACACACACACACACACACACACACACACACACATCTATATGTGTATGTATTCTGTATACATCTGTATTTCTTTACATACAGACACAAAGACATTTGCACTTGCACACACACATATACACACACATACATACCTATACATGTATGTATTCTGTATCAATGTATCTTTACACACACACACACACTACTTTAGCTGATTATGACAGTTACCTTGTTACATATGCATAACCTTTATACATACTCTAAGTACAAAATGTGTCATCCCATGGAACACTTCACAAATCCTATCAACAGATTTTAAAGTTTTTCTTTTAAGTTTAACTAAAATCACTATAAGCAGTAAGTAGAAAGTGAATAAAATCAAGAAAATCAGGCAGTCTTTAATCACTACTTTGAATACTTTTCTGGTGCTTTTGTCAGTGTTTCCTGAACAGAGGTAATGGAAAAAAAAATGTCAATCCTAGGTTTACAGATGATGTAAATGGCAAATTGGTTTAGGAAATGTAAGCTTAAATTTAAACATAAAACACTGTACCACATTTTTTCTTATGTGTGAATAGGAAGCTAAAGTATCTGATATAATGAAAGACATATTTATTTTTCACTTTATTATAAAGTCATATTTTAAAAAAATCAGTAAGTTAAAAAAAAAATCAGTTGGGTTAAATTATTGAAGTATGCACTTCATAAACTAGGCTACCATACAAAAAAAATAAATCTAATTAGAGGAAGATAGATCACTGCTTCACATGCAAATCTTTCTACTCAGTCTTAATAGTCTTTGCCACATTCTTCCGTGGTGATTTTGATGGCGAGCGTTTTCTTGCTGACCTGTTTGAAGGGTTCCTCCCAAAGGGACAGAGATTGACATTTAAGCAGTCATAGCATTTTGGGCCAACAGGAAGACACTGCTGTTGACCAAAGCCTACCATGAGGAGGTTTGTTTCACTCCATATTTCTTCTGGCATCCATGATTCTAGTGCTTTCCGAGTGTCTTCTGGTGTCTTTGTGTTTTTACCAGTCCATCCTAGCCGGTTGCTAATGCGATGCACATGAGTATCCACCCCTGCATAAAGAGGTATTAGAATCTTGCCTAATCATTATTCCTAGTATGAAATTCTGATATGAAACATAAATGTATATACTATGTCAGATTTTTTTTGATAGCAGAAAATCATAGAAATCTTACCAATTCCGGTGAGTTTACCCCATCCGATATCCATGCAGAGGTGGGCCATCTTGGGGCCCACACCTGGCAGTTTACACATTAGCTCCAAAGTGGGTGGAATGTCACCAGCATAATCTCTCTTCAATATTTCACATGTTTTCTTAATGTATGTAACTTTTTTCTGTAAATTCCATAAATGACACATGTTAATAAAACTTTTTTTTTTTTTTACATATGTTTTGCATCTTGTATATCCTTAATATGATATGGTTACAGCAAAAGTACAATCTTAGACAAACCTTCCAGAATCCCACAGGATAGATGAGTTGGCCTAAAGTTGCATCATCTGTAGCTAAGACATTGTCCACAGTGAGGCCATGTGCACGTAGCTTCTCCATGGCAGCATGTGTCACTTCATCCTTTGTCTGACTGCTCAGCATCAGAGATATTAACACATGTAACCTCCGAACCTATTGTAGATTTTCGAAACAGGAAGTTAGTTGCATTTTAAACTTTAATATCAAATAATTCATTAAAAGCTACCTTCCTATATAATAAATATATATGGAGGTAATATGTTACAGATCATCAAAATCTTTGCCCAACATATTATTTAACAAAAATCATTAGAAAGGGTAGATAGAATAGTATAAACACTTTGATCTTGGCAATGAAATAAATAAAGTAAATATACCTCTGGTGTTGCTTGTTCATCCATGCACTTTTCTGCTCCCATGTTATCAACAGGCGCATCTCGAGCTGATCTCATTTTCCTGATATTTTCTAAAACCTCTCGCCAATTAGGAGGTTCCCAACCTGGCTGTCCTGGTTTTAACGACTTGCTTTCGGTGTCCTGTAAATATTTTCCAACTTTTAATCACAATTTAATATTTTTTTTTACTAGAATACAAGCAAGAAAGGATAGTGTGACATTTTCGCAATACTAACCTATGTTCTTGACAAATGAAACACTAAAAAAATAAATAGATAAAGCAGATAAGGGCATCAAAGATCCATATATCATGAAACACTCAAGAATTACACATTCATTCATTATGCTTTCTTCATAATCCATACATACTAGTAAATGTTCTTGTGGAAAAGAATGATCCTCCTCTTCCTTTTTCACTGAAGTCAAGAGCCCTCCAACTGACGAGTCTTCATACTTGACGCTGACATGTTTTTTTCGTGAAAGCTTCCTTGACAGTGGAACTTTTTCCTCTTCAATCTGCAATAAAACAATATTGAAAGTAAGAAAATTGGACTAAGGGTAGTGAAAGGTAGGAGAGGATACTGGCTAATGGAGAAACACACATGAAGAGATTCTTACAGTTTCCATGTAATATCAGTTCAAAAGAGAAGAAAAACTGTATCATAAAATAAGAAAAACTAAAAAAAAATCCAAGACTTGTAATCAAACAATGATGTGATTTGGTCTACACGATGCTAATTAGTATCGTTAGTTTCAAAATCTATGTTGAATCCAGTTGAATAATTTCAAAATCTAATCATATTAATTTTAACCTAGCCTAATTACAATATGTTCTGAAAGTAGGTTACTCAATGGGAAGTTTCCATTCATAAGAAATCAACTGCATAACACTCTCATATCTCTAGTAAAGAAGAAATAGCTTATTCCACTACTATCATAATTATTTATTAATTGTAATCACAGTCCTTTATTCCACAATATTTAATTCTTGGAATATGAATCTGATACTAAAAATAAACTGACACAAAAAGATATATGAATAACTACACAAATATATAACAAATCTATACCTATCTAACTATATAACTTTACATCTACATATCTATCTATTTAACTATCTACACACATAGACACACACACACACACATACAAACACACACACACACACACACACACACACACACACACACACACACACACACACACACACACACACACACACACACACACACACACTTATATATATTATATTATAATATAATAATAATAATAATAACATTAATAATAATAATAATAATAATAATAATAATAATAATAATAATAATAATAATAATAATAATAATAATAATAATAATAATAATAATAATAATAATAATAACAACAACAACAACAACAATAATAATAATAATGATAATAATAACATTAATGATGATAATAATAATAATAATAATAATAATAATAATAATAATAATAATAATAATAATAATAATAATGTATTGATATCATAATAAAAATGACTCTTATCCAAAAAAATACTATAGGCCTACTTATAATTCCTTAACCTATGGATTTTTTCATAAAATCTTCTCAATACAATATTTCCTACACCATTCAGAAAGTTAATTAATGTACATTATATTCTATTTTATTAGCATTTCATAATGATCATCACCATCCTCATCATAATCATCATTATGCAATGATCAACATCATGATAATCACCATCATTATCATGGTCATCAAATTAATCATCAAATTGATCAAATTATCCATCATTATAATCGTTTCAAAATATTGATCTAACTAATATACAATTTGCTCACTAACTACTGTGCAAAACGAGGCTTCATACCCCACCCACAGCAGCATCGGCACTGAAATCTCAAACAACATTAGCATTAAGGTCGTTGAATGGCCCGGCCGCCAGATCAATACCCTCCCAATCGCGCCATATAAGGCTTTTTTACCTTTATCTTCACGCCGTTGATGACAGTCGGGTTGTCTTCGCAAGAAACTTCGGATTTTGAACCTAAAGATCCATTCTTATTCTTTGAACGTGTCTTCCTCGGCGACACGTTCTGGAAATATTCACTCTGATTCATTTTATAACAGAGGAGACGTGATGCTGGTCGACCGAGGCGGAGACCACGTGCTAGCATTGTTTACTAGCACTTGTCCGAATGGCTTAATGTGTTTATGATTACGTTCATTGCGCGAGCGGACTGTGAATGAATGGCGCGTTATCGGCGGCCTCCGTGGCGATTCTCGGGTCATTCTTAGTGGAATAAGCGTGATTTAACACAGGCGATAAGAGTATCACTTGCTTGATAAGTGATCAGAGGAGGGAAAGAGCATCAGGAGGTAAAAATAATAAAAAATAATAATGATGATAAATAAATAAACAAATATACATCTTTATACATGTGTATATTCAGTATATACATACATAGATTGATTGATAGACAGATAAGAATACAGATATGGACTTAGATATACAAGAACTATAGAAACAAGATGACTGATAGCTAGTTATATTCATATATAAACGTGTGTGTGCATAATGAGTAACTGAGTTTATGTATGCGTGTCATAGTAAGTGTAACTGACTTCGTGTGTGTGTGTGTGTGTGTGTGTGTGTGTGTGTGTGTGTGTGTGTGTGTGTGTGTGTGTGTGTCTGTGTGTGTGTGTGTGTGTGTGTGTGTCTGTGTGTGTGAGTGTGTGTGTGTGTGTATGTGTTTTGTGTTTGTGTGTGTGTGTGTGTGTTTTGTGTTTGTGTGTGAGTGTGTGTGTGTGTGCGCGCGCGCGTGCGGGCGTACATGCAAATGTGCCAGCTTGAATGTATACGTGTGTCCGTGCTTACTTGGCGTGTGTGCGAGTATGTGTGTGTGGGGAGGAGGGGCAAGTACATTTGTGTGTCGATACACACACACATTTTATGAATATATATAAATATGTATATATATATATATATATATATATATATATATATATATATATATATATATATATATATATATATATGTATATATATATATATATATATATATATATATATATATATTCTAACCATATATATGTATATATATATATATATATATATATATATATATATATATATATATATATATATATATATATGTTGC